GGAGAAAAAAAAATGAATTTGAACAATTGTAGTATCAGGCTGCAACGTAACAAAACTGAAAAAAGTGAAGGGAGTCTGAATACTTTCCGAATGCACTGTATAATGCATCGTCCTCATTACCACCACCCTTATGTTCTGCCTGCATGGTATTTATTTCTCAAAATCTTCACATCGGCCCTTCATTCTGCTTACATTGCAAGAGAAAAACAATGCTGGACTACTTAGTTGGACTACTTCTGAATAATTTTTTTCTTCTACGTCAGTGTGCTAAAGTCTTGCTACCATTAACTCTGTTAAAGCAAACACTTTTCAGCTACAGCTTCCCAGTTCTATGCTTTTAATTTTAGAAAAGGAAATACAAAAAGGCAGCCAAGCTGTTCAGATTTATGTAACTATGTTTTTTTCCTCCCAATGGAGTTCAATCAATATTAATTCAGTATCATCTTTTCCTATTCCTACGGATGAAACTGATGCATTCTGTATACAAAGCATGGAAACTTACGGAAAAAATTTGAAGGCTTTCACAGTACACCCAGTACCAGCAAAAAGATTCTTCAGGTCATCAACTGTGATAGAAGGCCTGTAACATGGAATTAAGTACCCAATGTTAGTGAATATTCATGGATTTTTAAAAAATTCTTGTGACATCCCTTTGGTCCTGTTCCCATTTGCACTTAACTATAGCATAATCCTGTGCTGACAACAGCAATTTCCCCCCTTTTCCTCAGGATATTCTTATCTCATTCCCAGCCCCTGAGTAAGATAGCAGAACCAGCATAAAAGTTCTATTTTCACCCCCCTTTGGCATTATCTAAATATACACTCAAGGTACGTACAATCTGCAAAGTTTCACTACCAATTATTGTGAGTCAACACCCCCTAACAGATGCAGGGGAGTCTTGGGAGGGGCTGGCGTGGCCCATCTGCTCAGTTCACTAGCCAGTCTGCAGCTATTTCTGTCCCAGCTCTTGCCCCTGCCACGGTGCTTTTGTTTCCCAAGTACCTTTCATACCTTTCACTCCCCTCCATTTTTGAAAACTCCTCTCCAGGCTTTCCATAAGTAAAGGACAGGGACAACTCCACTATTTGATCTGGGGAAGCAGAGGGGATGTTTCGCACTATTTCACTTTAGCATTTTTACTTCTAAATGCAACAGCTCCACTTTTTCTCACTGCAGTATCCAGAATACAAGTAAGAATGTTGACCTGAGTTTTTGTTGTTTATTTTGTTGTTCCCTCTATTTGTCAGTTTCACTCACTCACTCACTCACATGCACACCCAGGCAGGGACATCTTTACACAGCTAGTTTGTTTTCTGGTTTCACAGAACTTAGCTAGTTGCACAACCAAGGCAGAATCTGACTCTTTCCTCCCTGAGGCTACCCTGGAGGGCAGAGAAATGAATCTAGTGAAACCCAGGAAGACCCTTGCCAATCTTGCTGCAGATTGGTGGGAGTTTTTTCTCTACTGGCTTGTGAGGTATTGAAAGGAGAACCACCTTGCCTATAAGAAGTGGCCCACTCATAGTTCAAGACACTCTACCAATAGTAACTCAGAAAAGTTCAGTATAGTGTTAGGACTGTCTAGGGCAGTGTTTGCCAACCTTGGCAACTTCCAGATGTGTAGACTTCAACTCCTAGAATTCTCACCAATGGCCATTCTGACTGGAATTCTGGGAATTGAAGTCCACACATCAGGAAATTGCCACAGTTGGGAAATGCTGGTCTGGGGGACAGCAAATATTATGTCAGCATTGTTTTGTGACAACTCAAGGACGAGTTTAATTCAGAGGTCCGCTGTCTACAGTATCAGATGTACCAAGTGATGCTAATTCATGACTGTTTGACGACATAATAAAGGGTTAGTTTTAAAGTTGCCAAGAGGTTGTTTGTTGCTGCATCACATGAATACAGCTTTTCCTCTGAAAACAAAACAAGAGTCTTTAGATTATGAAGGCCAAGAATGGAAAAAACTTTATTCCTGCAGTAGTCAAATTATCTTGAGCTAAGGCACTGCGTCTTTCACTGAATGGGAACAACTTTACACCTACAAAGATATAATGCTTAGAAACAACTCAGTTAAAATGCATTAGAACTACGCTTAATGTTCCTCAATCCATGTCAAAGGCACTTCTTTGGCTGGAACTGGGCTGTGTCTCTCTGTAGACCAGCATGAAAATGAAATATTGGCTACATTTAATTTTCTGCTGTAGGTCCTTGATCCAGTTAATCCTTGCAGGTACGTTTACCTCCTCCTGGTAAAAAGTATAGCCTCAGATTTGCCTCACTGTGGCCTTTCAACTCAATCCCTGCTAACGTTTGGACCAGAGAAACACATGACAGAGGTCAAACAGTGTCTCTGATTTGGATCTGCAAAATGATAAAATCTCAACCCATTACAAATGGGGCCTCTATAAGTAGACTTTTTGCTATACTTAACTTATTCTCCACCAGTCTCTCCATCTAATATTTATATTAACGAGGCTTAACCATTTGCCCTTGCACGTATCGGGGAAGAGAGTGGAAAACATCACACACTCAGAGTACATCTGTCCATATTTGAATGAGGCTATTTAGACAATTCTAAATGTCTCATTGTGCTGCCCCTTGTACCATAGTTGACACTCCAAGTTAATATTACTAAATGCACAGGTTAGCCTGATATTGAAGTTGCACATATTTTCCCCACAGATCAACCTATTGAGATTTCTATGAAACTTGCCAAATTTTGTTCAAATGCAATTGCTGTTAGAAGATGCTGCATATGAACTATGCTCAGGCTTGGATGTTCTGGCTAAATATGTCTTGCCCAGAAGATTGTCAGCATTTATGTTTGTCACTAACTTCTGCCCTAATATGTTAATTTCTCATCTTGTTTTATTAGCTAATACTGTTTTACTGCTTTCCTTTTGGTCTTTGACTGTAAATTAAACTCATTTGAAGTTTTATTTATTGTCCCACAGATAATTAAGGCTTTTTATAGTCTAGTGGCATTATAAATACATTTCATAATACAAAACTGCAGTGAGACAGCAGAGTTCATTTTTGGGGCAAAAATAAAAGACTGTTCTCTGGATTAATGATTTTGCCACTCTGATATTTCTGATAACTATAATCTACCCTTCATATTATTTAATGTATGTACATGAAACTCTACAGCTTATAAACAGGCATAACAATTCTGAGGTTCAGATTCCTACAATTTCTGAAAACAGCTTATATATCTTATAATGCAAACTGCTGCTAGCAAAAAGAAAGTTCATTTCTACCCCATATGCAAATTTATAAATTCAGTTTTTTGTATTTTTGTTGCACTCTACCAATCAATTTCATATCCTGGTAATAAATATTGGCAGGAGAATAATACAGTGGTCTCTGGATACTCCATATAAAACAAGAAACACCCTTCTTGAAATGCTCTCTTAAACTCAGAAGTGCTGTGCCATTACCAATCTCTCAAATCAGCTACGCATATCCAGAACTGGCCTTATGATACAGCAGTTTCCCTCAAGTAGCCGATGAAGAGGGCAACAAATGGTTAACTTTGTTAGGCTGAATGCAAAGGAGGGAGACGTGCCAGCCGTCAGCAAGCCCTCTTTATAGCAGTCGGATGTACTTACGGAATGTTGGAGAGGTGAAGAGTGGCAGATGGAGGGAAGATGTTTTGGAAGTTCTTGGAGCCAGGCTTCTTAAAGCGATGCAAAGGGCTACTGCTATAGTCCTTGGTTAGACCCTGGTCCTCTTGACCCTCACGAGGGAGTTGTACTGTCTGATGCTTTGAGAGCGTAACACGGAGCGCTTTCCCATATAGTCTTTGCCCATTTAAATGATTCATGGCTAAAGTGTTTAAGACAATGAAGATTGGGGGAAATTAGATAAAAAAAAATACTGTACCAAGGGGTACTTTTAAAATACCTGTTCCAATAATCAGCCAGTAAATTAGATTCACCTTTTGCTAATTCTCAACTTCATTTTGTATGCTGCTTTCCAATATGCTATTTACAGCAAAAATGCTTCATTTTATAATTTTTCTGTGTTAAGATCAGGTGTACTCTAATTATTATTTATAAGAGAATCAGATCCCTATACATAACAAATGAAGTGTAGGAAATGAATCACACTTTAACTTCACATTGAAGAACCTTCAGTTGAAAAAATAAAGTTCCATTTTTAATCAAATGGAATTCAATATCCTGTTACAGGGGTAAAAGCAGCAGTAATGTTTAGTTTCAATTTTTAAATAGTTTTGCTGGATTTCTTAAAAAAAAGAAAATGATCATAGATGCCTACTATAAAGGAAAAAAAATTAGCAGTTTATATAATGCAATTACACTATATTTTATTAGCATTGTTAATACCTAGTTGGGCTTGAGTTGCATCTGCCATCTGAACTAAGGCATTTTCCTTCTTATTAAACATGATTTTTACACGGTGGACATCACCATAAACACCTGCAACAGTAAAACACATTTTGAGTTCACTTTGTGCAACAAGATCATTCTAGTTATTATAATGTTCATAGAATATAATGCCTGTGTTATGCTAAGAATAGCTTCAAAAAGAACATACATTAATCATATCAGAGAATTGTGCAAGCACCAGCCGGGCATCATCACAAAACAGATATAAAAATCTACAAGTCAGATATACTCTTATTATTATTTACAAGAGAATCAAGTTCCTATACATAAACCAACAAATATACAGATGTCACCCAGTATTTTTAAGAACACAAACCAACACAATTTGCATTCCATTATGAAGCATAAGCTTTTTAGACAATGTTAATTTATGTATTTATTGTATAAACTTACCAAACAAGATAAAAAGCCCATCTGGTGTGATTGCCTGCACAGAATAACAAGACAATAATTTTGCAAGGAATAATTTGAAAAATCCTGAATTATCATATAGTTATCTAGGAACTAGGCTCCAGGCTAGAAAGCAGGAGACCGCACGTTCTAGTCCCACCTTAGGCATGAAAGCTGGCTGGGTGACTTTGGGCCAGTCCTTCTCTTTCAGCCCCACTCACCTCACAGGGTTGTTGTTGTGGGGAAAATAGGAGGAAGGAGTATTACGTATGTTCGCCACCTTGATTTATTTATAAAAAATAACGAAGGTGGAATTAAAAAATCTAAAAAAACAAACCCTATGATAGGAATTTAGTACATTAGTAAATATATTGGAATACTTTTCGGCTGTGTATGTTTGCTTTAATATATCCTATACTGTAGTACTGTATATATCTCACATCGTTTTAGCCACATTTTTCATTGATAATATTGATCACAGGCCAAATGATTATTTAGAACTTAACAAGCAACACAGATCAAATTAAAATAGTCAGCAGTTCAGTCTAAGTCTGAACTGTGATGTTGGGGGCTGCAATGTTGTTAAAATCATCTCTGTTATATATCTATGGCTGAATTTAAGTGCATTGTTACTGGAAAAAGTAAAAGAATTGCTCTAGCACTAGAAAATTTAACGTGTTCTTTTTATATAACTTGTCATAACTATATTAGATACTCAAAAGCATAAGGAGGCATGGAATAAAAAACTGGAATGTCTGGCACACAAATATAATAAAGACCATTCTGGCTATATGTCATATTTGTACAGATTTATAAATAACTTAAAAATACCACTGCTATCAGTTAGGCATGCATGTTTTTAGGAAGAAATTGGCAGGTTCAGTCAATAGTAGAAATATGGTATTCAAAATGCATCACTGGTTCATAAAAATGAGGTCATGTACTATAATATTCTCTTTTCAAAAGAAGTTACTTAACATACTGATTTTGTTCTGAAAGACTCAATATTTTTTGTGGATGCTTACATTCTTCTACCAGCTATTCAGAAACTAACAGGAAGACAATGGAAAATGTCACTCTGCTTTTACAGTCACAAGAAAATCCTGATACTAGAAGGTGGGAATGACACTCAGTGAATTACCCAACTGTCTGAAGAGCTTACCTCTCTTTCTTTACTTAAGCAAGCATTTTACTAGGAGTCCTACCTGGAGGATTACTTAATATTTGGACTGCATATATTAGTTTGTATATTTGATTACCCCTTTCCCTGTTTTAAAATGCACTGACCGACATTAATTAAGGGCATGAATATCACATTAATATATGTAGGAGTTTTTTTGTTTATAAGATGTGCATGCTTTTGTGGGATTATAACTTTTTTTCTTTTTCAAAAGAATAGAAACGATTAAAACAAAAGCTATGTTTGAGTTGCGACCTGTGCGCCACATGCTAGCCTTACATCAGGATTAAGATTGCTAACAAGTAACACAGAATTTCCAGGCAGTCCTGTAACTCCTGGGAGAGCCATCCGCCCAGTCATCGCAGAGGTGGAAATTGCAAGAGGACCAAGTGCGCTAGGAACAGCCGAGACCGATAATCCTGGAAAAGCCAAGAGTTCCAAGAAGCATTTCAGTAGAAGCAAAGGTAACTTCGTTTTTCTCTCTCATTTTAAAAAGCAAATATAATCTGGAAATGTACTGCAATGTATTTCTCCTCACCGAATTAAATATCACAGATTATATCTCCATTTTGAAACAGCAAATCAAATCAAATCAAATCAAACTTTCGTCCTAATCTTTTAATCTCCTCCCCATGTTTTATGGAGGAAGGATTCCTTCAAAACACCATATTGCTCAAGGCCTTGGTTCTCATGCTTCCTGCTAGTAATTAAATATAGATAAAACAACTCTCTTATATTTTCCTGCCCAATGACAGTCTAATAACCAAATGTCCTTAATTTTCTAACTGGAATTCAAAAAACCCAAAACAAAAAAAATAGTCAAGCAGTATTAAAAGCTTTGTTTTTAGTGCTTTGTTGATGTGCTGTTAAATAAAATAACAAAATGTGAACCACACAATTAAAAAGCTACTAGCACGTTTGTCAGCTTTTGGTTCTAATGCATGTATCAACATTTAACAAATCTAGACAAAGTATTAAAAGCAGAAAATCAGATCTTTAATATACTAAGAAAGACTCACCTGCAGCTTGGGGAAAGCCAATGGCAGGAGCAAAACCAGCTGCCCCTGCGTAAGGTGAGGAGATGATACTTGGAGTGCCTGAAGAGGGAAAACAAATTAGTCCAGATTGTAGAAGGTTAATTTCTAGAGAAAGCAAAAAGTTACTGGATTCCTAAAGCAAAGATCCCTGTCTTAGACTTATTGCATGGGATGAATATACCCTCTTGTCACTTCAGTTTATGTGGCTTCTCCACTCTGCTTCTACTTGAATACTATACTGGCAATTAAGGGATGAATAATAGCTGTACAACCTTTCCCCTCAATATTGATATAATTCCGATAGGCATTTTAGGGCCTGCTTCTCTGAAAGGATGCTCAAGAACCAAAACCCAAGTGCAAACAGCATGTACACATGCAAAACCTTCACCTTGGTTTATTAACAGGAGCCAGATGTTTCATTTTCCTTTTTATTTTAAACTTAAATGTTACTTAACCTTTTCTGGACTCAGATGAGATTGCAGAAAAAAATGTAGCAGCTGTGTCACCTGATTCATGCTATCAATTGTTTAATCTCTGAAGACTACTGAACTGATTGAAAATATCCTTTTCAATTTTGGGGGGAACCATAGCATTAAAAACAATTGGAGCAACTTGTGCAAAACGTAGACTATGATGTGCAGAGGTAAGCCCTGAACAAAGAAATCAAGGAGGCTCTATTTCATGAGGCCTGTTCACATGCTACAGCTATGATGCTTTGGAAACAGCAGGAAATTGCCACATTCACGGCTGCAACCTTTCATGCTGCCTGAACTCAATAGCTTCCTAAACCTCTTATCTTTAGTCACAATATGGCAGTTACACAAATACTGCAAAACACTATATATTTTACACTTATAATACAGCATGCATTGGTACTGTGACTTGTATTTGGCAATATAGGCATTCATCATTTAATTCACACTTCTGCTCTCCACTATAATTCATTATGCAAACAGCCAGCAACAAAGAGCTTATTCAACCAGATAGGGCCTGCGTGAATACTGATACCAAATACATACAATACCCTGTATTTTTACCACAGAATAGTAAGAGTTTTTGCATACTACATGTAAACTCTCTTTGCTGTGTATCACACAAATGGATATCCTAATGAACTAATTAGTTCACCTGATACTGGGTCAACATATGGCTGCTTGAAAGAGAAAGTGAACATGTTTCCTCGCTCTTAACACTGCCACTTACCTGCTCTTCCAATTCTTTAAGCTTAGGTCCAAAGTTTACTGTGGATGTTTTGTATATTTAGATAGTTTTTGATAGAAACAGCGGAACAATAGGAGAGGAAATTCACAAAATCCTACATTCATGTATGGTGAGCAAAAATATCTGGGTTCAGAGTGCAGCTTGTTCACAAAGATACAAATGCAGTGTTTTGGAAATTCTTTCCACGACACAATTTCTGCATGAACATTGCTCATCTGGAGCTCCCAACTAAGTAAGTACGTAGCAACCGATTACCTGCCTGAATGAATACCTGAAAAAACTACAAAGCCTAGGCTAAATCTGAGATCAATATAATTCTCAATAGTCTGATTCTGTTTTAGTTTTGGGGACACCCCAATTCCTGTTGGGCTGCCCCCAGAGAATACCACGGCTGTCCCCAGAGAATACCACGGCTAATCAGAAAAGAAAGTCTGCATATAAAAGAATTGCAAATACTTTTCTACAAGGGAGAATGTTTTCCATTGCACGTTTAGAAGCAAGGGTAACAGTTTTTCCTCTGGTTACTTTAGAAATGCTCAGATTTAAAAATAAATAAATTACGAGCTACCTTGAGATCAATATGTTAAACCTCAGCATGTTAAATATAATTAAAATAAATTACTGATTATTTTCAAAAGTATCATTTCTGGGCAAGGCTGACAGTGATTACTGCTTAACACTGAGAATGTATGGATAAAGCTGAGTTTGTTTTGGTTCCAAAAGCTTATGGGTCCAATGCTAGACTCAAGAACATGTTTCACAGGAGATGGACAGGGCAGCAAGAACCAATTAGTTCTTCTGCTCCACATTCTACAATGATAATAATTACCCTCTAGAGTAGCATCACTGTGGGCAAGATGATATCCTTATTAGACCCTTCTAAAATGTCAGTGTCCTGTCACTCTTTATAAATAAAATTCCCCCTGAAATAAGGGGAAGCAAAATTCACCTTCATTATTCTTCTGGGCTAGCTAAGGAAGAAAGGTTTGGTGGTGATTTCCAAAAGATGCTGGCAAAGGGTTGCACAAGCATGCACAAAACAAGATTGTCAAAGATAAATCTTGCCAGTTACTTCTAGTATGCAGGGTTAACAAACACATGTTCCTTCCCGGTTTTTTTGTTTTTTAACAGACCAAAAGTGACAAACTCTCTCATATCCTCAGAGATTCATAGGACACAAAAAGTACTTTGTTAGAGAATCTCAACTTTTGCTTTTAACAATTTCATAATTCAGATACCTTTTATAGTATTTCTTAAGCAGTAGTGCTAGAATTTAAAAAAACATAATTATTAACCTAACACCATAATCTATAATAATAAACAATATTTTTCAATGCCATTTTTTCCAAATGATGGGATGCACGTTTTGCAGCTAATACAATATGTCTCTGTGCAAAGAAAAATCTCAAGAGCCCATGGTAAAGGCGAGAGCAATTTGTTCTATCTCCATCTACAAGGGAAGAGTTCTTACCAAAAGCAGCAGCCATAGTGGGGTCAAGGGAAGGCTGCCCATCCCCTGAAGGAAGGTCCAGACGCGTGAAGTCTCTGCTTTTATCATTGTTATATTTTACATTAAGGCTTGTTAGCTTGGAGAAATCAATACGAAGAGTGCAGCAAGCATTATAGATATTTTGACCATCCAGAGCCTATGGAAATATAGAAAAGTTGAGGTTATGAAATGCTAACTTTTAGGATTTTTTTTATAATCTAAATCACAGACACATGTAGAGTTGCAATGTGAACATACTCTGGCTGGAGCAAAGAAGCAAGTGAATTCACATTTCAATGTTTCTCTACTGTTTTATGTGCTTTGTAAAATGAACTGTGCTGCCAGAGTTTTGTAACTCTGTGATACGTAAATTATACATCCAAACATAGTTTTGAAATTGTATTTGTTTGAGACTAAGCACCAGTCATGCTTGTATTGTATCATTAATGCTGTCAGGTTAGTAAAATATGGCTGCCAAATGGTAGAGAGTATTAGGAACTGCTCTATTAGATGATTTGAAAGGTTTGCACATTTAGCCAGACTGGTTTCTTGGAGCACCTGCTTAAAACTTGCAGAGCTGTTCTCTGCAAGTTTCTCTAAAAGTTTCTATTATCAGCTTAAATGCCTGTCAGAGTAATTTTTCAAAACTGCAACAATGATGTTAGCATCTGACTTTTATTTACAGCAGCGGCAGAGTAAAGGAAAAAAAGGGAGGGGAGGCACCTCTGACAGGCAATGAAATGGGCCTTTTGAGAGCTGTGCCCTGTCATCATTTAAATGAAGCATGCTTATAATTTACAACTATGTGCCATCATCACACATGAACTTTTATGCAAAATCTCTGAATGGTGAACAGATGTATGATACCATAATGCAAAGAAATAACTATATAGATGATTATGCACTGGTGTGGGTTACAAATATATTTCTGTGCTGTAAAATTCCAGCATAATACTTGTGTGACATAACACCAGAAAAATAAGGCAGTTCATATGCAGAAAACTGTTAGAATGCTAACCTATTAGGTATCTAGTTGCACACTTACCATTTTGGCATACTGTGCATTCAGAGGATCAGCATATTGAAGCAAGGCCTGAAACTGATTGTTCTTTGTAAAAGTTATGATCTTCAAAACTGTTCCAAACTTGGAGAAGATCTAAATAAAAAGTTTAGATAGTCAATTCATACATTAATACTTTCTTGGGAGCTTGAGATAGAATAGATATTTCAAATAATCTAAGTTTACAGGCATGGGGATTTTTACCATAATTCTGAAGTTTAGCACTCTGAACATAGTATTAATGTTAAGAATGTTATATGCTGGGAGTTATAACAAGTTTCGTAAGTGAAACAGTTCTCTCAATACAGTAAGACAAAAAAATACTGTTTCTTTCCAATATCTACAAATTAGAATTGAACATTACATAGTTGAATTGGCCAGTTACATTACTGTTTATGCTGCAAGGAAAATTTCACTTCAGCTTGGAGGTTTAGATAGACAGACAGACAGACAGACAGACAGACAGAAAGAATATTTACATTAAAAAAACCAGTAAAGACTGAAGTGTACCACAGCTCTGACAGTATGTTCAGATGACCAAACAAGGCTGCATAAAGCCTTTGAAAGAGTTGCCTTGCAACACATCTCTCTTTGAATTGTTAAAGCAGCTGTGTCTTTTGCAAGGCTCATGCAGCTGTTTTGGAAGCTATCCCCAGCTATCTCCACATGCATGTGTGTGAACATCTGTTTTGCTTCACTGGGGGAAAAAAGGCTTTCTTTTCCAAAAAGCAAGCAAAACAAAATGGCTGTGCATACACAAACAGGCAGAGATAGTCAGAAACAGCTTTCAAAGCAGCCATGCAACCCTTGCAAAAGACATGGCTGCTTTGAAAACTGTTTCTGGCTATCTCTGCCTGTTTGCGTATGCACAGCCAAACAATCCAAAGAGAGACGTTTCATTTGCAACCCTGCCCTTCAAAGCTTTGCACAACCCTAATAATACACATTAATCTTGGGATTAAACGTACCCTACAGCTATGATCTAACAAAATTTATCATTCCACTTTTAAGTTTCTCCTTTCAGTTCTACAGAATCACATTATTACATGCTGATTGTGCTCCCTGATTTGCGCTCGTGTTCGTAAGCAAATAATTCAGATGGAATGTATAAGGGAGAGAGGAGAAGGGAACAGACATGCATGACCTGCTGACTGGCTCACAAGTGCTGCTTGTGGTACTGTTTACAGCATGCAAGTTATCCTCTAGTAAATTAACTTTTTTTTTGTTTCTTTTTTATTTAAATCAGAGGAAGGACAATCATTCCTGTGTTAAGATATTTGGTAGGGGGAAAATACACCTAATAACCATATTTTAATGGCAAACATATCAGCATAAATAATTACAACAAGAACATTTGTTTATACCTGATATAGCACTTCTAGAGTAACAGGATAGAAGAGATTTTCCACGATAATTCGAAGAACAGAACTCTGACCAGGAGGCAGCCCACTCTCAGTAACTGGAGCACCTGTGAGGGCCATGCCTCCAGACTGCACAGCATTCACTGCTTGCAATGCAGCTTGAGTTCTCTGAGAGGGAGATAAAATGTTGATGTATCTATCACATATACTAACAATATTACATACAAATTATGCTCTGAACAAAATCCTTCAGTAATCAGTAGGACTTCAGGGAATAGTCTTATGTTTCATTTCTTTGCACCCACCTAAGTAATAGTGCAGATTACTAACCTTTCATTCCACTGCATCTCAAGCTTATGGAAACATCTAAAATATGTTCTAAGCTTTTGGAGCAATTGAATAGCTATATAAGGTAAAGTAATTCTATTTCCAAATCGTTGTTTCTTTTGACAAATACTAGCCAAACAAGACATATTCCTTCAAAAGCTTATTCAACTGTGCTGTAGCAGCACAATTCTACACCAACCTCATCAGTAAAACCCAGAGAAATAAGTCATAAGAGATATAGATACAGATGCTCTAGCTGCTGCTCTAGTTGAGAAATATACAGTATTTGTCTGAGACCTGCTAGACACACTGTTCCATTTCCATGTTGAACTGAACTGCTATATTGAATGAATTTTGGAGACTGCTATGATCCACCATCCTCAGGTGGTTTCTTGCCAAAAATCACTTGCTGCTGTAAGACAGATGACTCCAGCAGAACATGAATCTGAATAGGCAACTCTGTATACATCACTGTACTTTCTTTTAGGGATCCAAGACTACCTCAAACTGGTCTGCAAATTCCATTTTCTCTTGAATTGGTGGGATATAAGTACAAATATCAAGATTCACCTTAGTTCCCAAAAATATGGAGCTTCGTTCTTCATCAGATCTTTTCACCAAAGTCAAGACACACATTTTATCTGAAGTCTAAAATAATACATTGTTCCTGGACAGAAACATATGCAAAACTCCCTGCCTAATTTGAAAGTGTAATTCCACATTTATCCTGTCTCTGTTTCTCTATAGCATTTCCCAATACCAATTATGCAATATTGTTGGTTCTCAAAGTCTAACATAACAGAGGCCTAATGTGTGTAATAGTTAAGGTGTTGGGACAATTGCCAGGGAGACCCAGGTTCAAGTCCACACAGCCATAGAAGCTCACTGGATCAGTGAGCCAGTCATTCTCTCTCAGCCCAACCTACTATCTCAAAGCAATGATGTTGTGGGAAGATATTAGGAGGGAGCAATGTATATGCCACTTAAGCACCAGAATGAAAGGTAGGATAGGAATCTAACAAATGAACAAAATATATACATAATGGATTTATGAAGAATACAAAATCTTTAAGTATGCTATTAGGTCCTTCACGCTTGAATTGAAAGGAAATTGTCCTCTTGACTAATTTACTGCTTCCTACTGTAAGTCATTAAAGTTTTGTCTCTGTTTGCTGTGTTGAATATTATACCTGACAGGTATAGATTTGAGTTTTGATTAAGATGAAGACAATTTGGCTAAACACTGAGATGTTGGGTCCTTAAATTAAAGCAGGGAACTTCAGAGGTTTGGGACTATAAATGATACATTGGGGGTACAAATGTTTTTGTTGTTGTTCTTGTTGCTGCTGTAGTCAAAAACATCTGGAGCATACCAGCATTAGATTTTCTATAACATTTTTGCAAAACAAAGGCTTTGTAAACAATAATTTATGAGCTTTGAATGTGATGCTAACAAGGGAGTTCTCTCCTATGGAGATAAACTAATTGAAAAATGGCTTTGTAAGGAAAACCTAATGTAATGTTTTACTACCATGTCATATATGCACATCAAAGCACATGAGAGACAGTATATAAACCTCAAGTGAGAAAAAGTTACCAAGAAAACTAGATGGATGTATCCATGCAGTTTTGCTTTTAATATGTGTCTGAGGTGATTGGAGTAGGGCTGTTTTGACTGGAAAGGTGATAATCTAATATAGCAACTGGATACTATGGGTGCTCTGGATCCATTGGTTTCTTATAAGCATCTGATTAACATTTTGCTCTCAGACCAGCCAAACTAGATAAACGTTTCTCCTGATACACATATATTCCTACACGTATACTTCCTCAAAGATCTTCCGTTCCAGTATCAAGTAGCTAAGTATTTTCTCTTCAACTGTCATTCATCTGAGAGGGCAAAATATATTTCTCTTCTATGTAATCTGCCAGAATTTGGGTCGAACAAAATTGAAACCAGATAATTTGTTGAGGGAAAAAAAGACAAGTGCGAAGAAGGCTAGATATTTTGAATTTCATAATGAAATACTACTGTTACATTAATTTAACATATATAGAATGGGAAAGAAGAATAATTACAACACTATCAGCCAGACATCAAACAGTTAAATATATTTCCCAATTTCACAAGCAGTTGGGGCAGCAGAATTACCACTTCTTGAAAATAACCCACAGCCCTTTTGGTAAGCTGAGGCCTTACCACCACCCTCCAAAAAAAGTTGAAGTGGGCCATAATAATAATAAAGAAGTGGGTCCTCATTAATAATATTGAATCGTAGGTGTTTGCTGGAGTGGTGGCAGGAAAATTATGCAACATGCATGACTATATTAACACAGAAATGGCACAACTTAGTACTTGCATCAGAAATTGGGATGCAATTATATAATGGCACCATTTGTATGATGATGTCATGTTTGTATGTTGTCATTCTGACAGCACTGCAGTTTGCTGACACATGACTGTATTGAAGGTCATATATTTTACTTAGAAGTAGCATACTTACAGCCTGGTTGGGCAGATTGTCAGTCTTAAGTTCTCTATGATTGGAATACTGAATATAAACAGGCTGACTGCGAAGGTGAGGAGTAACAGGAGTGTAGTAGTTCACCATAGTAACAGCAGCTTCCTCTGAAGCCATTTCTAGAAAAGCCTGAAATTAATACAGAGAAATATTTTGACTGGAAAACCGCTACCCTAACTGAGAAAGTGTGTAATACATGTACATGCCATCTGTAGTACTGTCATGTATAATACTGTTTTATTGTAAGCCACCAGAAGATTATAGCAGCATATAAAGGATAGAAATAAAATAGCAAAATTGCATTACTGTTATCACCAACCAAAGAAAATTTTTAAAAGTTATTTTTTATCTCACTTAAAAATGTACTTGCTTAAAAGGAGGTTGGGGTTTTTGGGGGGGCAGATGTGCCTTTGAATCAGTATTGACTCCTGGTGACTACTTGAACTAGTTCTTGTAGTTTTCTTGGCAAAGCTTTTCAGAATTGTTTTGCCACTGCCTCCTTCCTAGGGCTGAGAGAGAGTGACTGGCCCAAAGTCACTCAGCTGGCTTCCTGCCTGAGGCAGGACTAGAACTCAGTTTCCATGTTACTAGCCTGGTGCCTTAACCACTACACCAAACTGGCTCTCAGTTCTTTATTAGTGTGATATAAATAAGAATTAAGTTGTAAAACTTGGCCAAATACACATCTAGCAATCTGATGTGGCCACATACCCTACTCTTATGGAAAGAGAGATTTATAAATACATAACCAAATCCAGTTTACTTTCACACCTCAATCCTAAATGCATAATAATATTATGCTGCAGAAGGGTATTGTAGAAAATTAATGAAAAAAAATTTTTTTAATCAATTCTAAATGGTAAAAATGCAGCAGGAATGATTTTGCAAAGCTTTTTTAATTTACTGCAATACAACAAGAAACCTAGGTTTTCTCCTATAAGAAGAAATACTGAACTGATGCTCTCTATTCTTTTCATCTTTTTGAGCAGGAAGAAGCGATAACATGTTGGAATTTCATGTGACATCCAAACAAGGGGGACTGAGATTTGAGGTTCATGAACTAAGTATATGAAGCCACATTTTCTCATTTTCTACAAAATCTGCCTAGTATTTTGCATGTTCTAATTAACATCTTTCATAACCAGAATACAAGATACAGCTTGTAATTATCTCAGTAGACTGCCCCAAATCATGAATCATGGCATTTTTTAAGTTGAAACACTGGATATTTTAAATGCAATTAAATTGTTCATGAAGTTGGTAGCTGTTAATTTTTAGCAACAGCAACATTGTTTACAAATTAGACATTACAAAGCAGTTAATATTTTAATGGAATTATATTCAGTAAGAAAAATAAACTTTATAGGATTATTTGCAGCAGCTGAATTCCAGCCCCTTCTTAGATTAGGTTTCGGCCTAATCTGGAATTAAAGTTCTCGCCATTTAATTGATTGGCTAGAGTAAACAGCACCATCTTTAAACCAAACAATCCTGTTGAAATTGACACATTTTCACTAAATCTAAATGAATGTTTGCATTTAGGTGTGGGTGTATACCAATATCGAGTCTCCTCCAAATAAATAATTACGGTAGTGTGAAGCATATGAAAGACGTGCTTCTCAAAGCATTAGTTAAGTACTCCTGCCTCCAACATTGGAAGTTAAATCTTTTGGAAGATTTGCATGGCTGCTTTGAAAGCTGTCCAGATTGCCTGAGACCACCATGAAAACGAAGCAGCTATGCACCCCACGCATACATGCTAAGAACCATTGAGAAACTTTAAGGGACCCACAGAGCTTTCCAAATGATACAGCCGCTTTAATGTGGTTAAATGCATTGCATTTAATGCATTGGTGGTTCAGTGGTAGAATTTTCACCTGCCACGCGGGAGGCCCGGGTTCAATTCCTGGCCAATGCACCAAAATGTCAGGGAAAAAACCATGTTAAACACGGGAGGCAGACACACCATAAAACAAGTTACTTCAAAGTTCTAAAAGCTTTATTAAATGTTAGTTTAACAAGCAAGTACAATTCAACCAATAGCATACAAGGTACCTACTTAGAATCACATTGCAATGCCGTGACCATCTTAATCGAGCCGTCAGGTAGACAGTTTGACCAAAATGGTACCGACCCCCTCAGATGCAATTCTTTTTATCCTCAAAAACCAAAAACCACAGACATGACTCCTAGGTTTAGCAACTGATTCGTAACGTCCTTGGTGCTAATTTT